GAGAGAGAGAGAGAGAGAGAGAGAGAGAGAGAGAGAGAGAGAGAGAGATTTAAGAAGATTTTCTTTCTCTGTCTTACACTATCGTAAAAGAAAAGGATCGTGCCTGCACCCCCTTCGTCACGATGGTGAGACAGAGAAAGAAAGTCTTCTTAAATCTTCTCTGTCTCTCTCTTCACATCTTCAGCTTATTCAACGGGACGCTCAGTCTATATTTGCTATATCTATGAGAAAATACGATAAGAGAATTACATATAGAAATTGTAATATGTCGATCGCTCGCCAAGCAATAATCGCTCTAAGAACTATTAGTGCAAAATAAGTGCGCGTATAATACAAAGCTTCGGCTTTCGTCGCGTTCGGGAGTGCCGTTTTACTCGATCGAATTAAAGACTCTTCAAAGCCCATTTGAACAAGTATTTGTGAAATGTCCGTTCCTGTCGATGGCCACACTTTAGAGATTTGGCAGTTTTTCCACTAAAAAACTCGCCGACTCGAAGTGGAGGCGAACTTGACGGAACAAAATGAATACGTTCACATCGACTTTGTAAACGGGAGTGTAAAATCGCGCGAACGATTTTTGTGTTCTCGCGAGTGTCCTGGAGGATAATCTGAGAGGATGAGGTGGCCCGGGGATGGCATCAGGCACCGGCGGAGCAACTTTATGGTGAGTGTTAATTTTTCATTTTGTGCCAAATTAATCTTTTCTCCGGTGTATTATCGAGTCGTTTCATTGCGTAAAGAATTACTTAGCGCCAGTAATTGATCAACCAATGTAGACAATTGCCATCGGCCGTCATGCAATTTTCTACATCGTTTTAGTTCATATGTTCATAAATTTGAAACAATACTTAAAGGACGAGAAGTAATTTGAGATTTTACAAAAGTTTATTCTCGTGAAAATCTCTGCTTTTATACGGAACAAGTTTCGCGCAATAATCATATATCAACATATCTAACCGAATAAAAAGTTTTATACGCATATGAACTATATCTTGCACTATTTTAAGTTTTCTTTAACGCTATTTTAATAGAAATCTTTTATTTTTCTGTTACAGATTCGTCGTAGTTAAACTCCGCTGCTGCGCGTCGGACGGTGAGTCCAATAATTTTTCAATGAGGCAACGAATCTACATTTCGTAGATCGTAGATGGTAGATAATAAATTAATATATCTCGTAGATCCTCTGGGAACAATTTTGACCGTTTTTTTTATGTAGTTAAGCAACTTAACGTTTCGGTTATTGCCACTTAAATTATCTTTGCATTACTGAATATCGACAGAACTAATTGAGAGAATTGATTAGTATTACTTTAATATCTTGGATATAGATAGAACAGCTAATTGTGATTTTTACTTACGCGGGATAAAATTCGTAAAAGATTAGAGTTAGGAACAATCTAAATAATTCGATTACTAATTGTGGGCCCCAATATTTGTTGCAACTGACTTTTTTTTCCCAGAGTACATTTCGTAGATCGTAGATTGTAGAATATAAATTAGTATATCTCGTAGATCCGTTGCCTCAAAATTGATAGAGTACAATATAATTTCCTAATTATTTTAATACATTTACTTTAACGAAAGGGAGTGATCGCGATTTTAACTGCGAAGGGTTGGGTGTCCCGTAATTTTCACGCAAAATATGACGAACATTATTAATATATTCGAGCTAATCTCTTGTACTCTATCAATTTTTTTATTAACAAATTTATATAAAAATTTATATAATGACGTGAGACAGTATATTTTATCGAGAACGCTAAAATTTAATATTATTTTCATACATCATTTGAAATTACTGATTAACTGGAAAGTCTTTTTTCTCTGGGTCTCACGTCATTTATTTTGTATGTGCATCCCGCGATACACTTTCAAGATGCGTCTCGCATGAATACATGCACAGTCGCACGCATCTTCGTATTTGTACGGTTGTTTCGCGGTCGGTTTTCGCGATTGATTTTTCAAAAAAAGTTCAAGAAATTATTAATTGTTTGACTTTATTAACGTTATAAATTTTAGTTTACCGCGGAATATCTATACTTGAATTTTGAATTCGAAGATCGAGTCAACACCTATTCTCGAGCAAATAACGGATGTCGAAATATATTTGATCAGTTTTATACAGTAAATATTTTGAATTAATTTTCTTCTTTAATTAACTTCTCGTGGTCGTGCATTTTTTTTTATACGATCGACGCTCGCATACAGTTCGAACCGTACGAAATATTTGTCGGTGACGATAATCCGACTATGGAAGGAATTTTCTTCCTTCCTGATCTCTGGTCAAAATGACCAGACTGTAAGGCCAGGAGCAACGAAAGGTATGTCCAACCTGGCCCAACGAAGGGATACGCCGAGTTAGTGGTCAATATTGGCCACTTTGATATATTATGTGAATGTGTTGTACGATATATGTTGATTTCTTCTTATGTGCAAAAATTTGGGTGGGTTATATTCTTTCCTTCGTTACTTATTCTTGCATATGTGCAAGATTAAAAAGACCCCTATTAAATCTCGCGCGTATAACTCCAAACCTCTTATAAATCGCGTCGCGGTTTTAGCGAAAGACTCGTAGGTTTATTAACAAATAGGTGAAACGCGGATAATAAATAATAATCGAAAAATTAACTACTCTTTTGGAATGTCTTTAAAAATGCTTCGACATGAAAATTACTATTTTCGTGCACGTTGCAAAAAATTCTGAGTATTTTACTGTTCTATTCAGAACGGATTAAACTCGTAAAAAGAAGTTAAAATTTTAAATAATGGGGGGGCTAACTTCACAGGGGTTCAATCATGCCACGAAACGTAAGTGCACATTTGATGATGATTTTACATTTAATTTTTACTTCATAAAAATACAAGAAGTCACGGTGACAAAATACAATTTACAAAACATCTTTCGATCTTAAAATGACAAGAAATTATTTTAATGTTAAGTCGTTAAATAATGGAGTTTACAAAATATATTTAACAGGTGGAAATTACTCTCTAACGAATTATACTTCGTGTTATTATATTGTATAATTTTGCAAAAATGAATAACAATTATGAAGAGCTGACTAAGTGATCTTGAAAAGTATCCTTATGTTATCGTTGCTATATATCGGGTCCTTTTAAAAGATTAATTTTCTCACGAATTGATACACGAGAAATATGTATATTTGTGTTAAAATTGCTGTGCAGTTTTAAGTACAAGGCTCTCTTAAAAAATATGATAATTCTCTCATATATTTTTTACATTTTTATATTTTTGTTTTTGCTATAACAATTTCAGTGAGTAATAACAACTTTGTAAATTATGTTACATTATATCACAGTATAAGTAGTTTGTGTTAAGGAAGAAGTTGTGAAACATGCTTTATCTTCGAGATACTAAATTTTCTATTCAATAAGTGTTGTGTGTTAGAAATTTATTTTTTATAAAAATTTCAAAGTCATTTCAAGTCTTTTTCTTCTGAGAGTAAAATGTGTACAATAGTTTTAAATGTTATTCCACTCGTTTATACAATACAGTTGCGTTGTTCGAATAACATGAATACTATCGTATACTGTATTATTATAGTATTATACCGGGTGTATTACGTCGAAGAATATCGTTCTTATTAATATGGCGATATAAAAGCGACAAGATGATTGAAATCACTGGTGCAGCCAACAATTTTATTCCTTGTGCAGTATTATTATCAACAATGTTATAGTTAATATGTGCGTACAAAATGTAGAAAAAGATTGCTATCGGATTTAATATTCTTTGGGTAATTCGCGCTTCATCTCCGTACGGAACTGCACGATATGCATTGTTTAACTTATCCTTGTGCATGATATGCATTTTTGTTTTCGTTCTATTTTGTGCTTTTTTTCGGAACGTCCCGTCATGCATATCATGCAGTCTGACGCCGCGTCGCATCATCAATTAAATTCTTTCGGGATGGCGAGGTCTAAGCAAGAAGCGTTTCTTAGAAAGGCGGAGTATCATCGCAGCGCGCGTGTTCTCTGCCGCGCGATTATAATCGTTCCGTTAGAGGGTGGCTTGTCCGTTAATCGTTGATCTTAAAATTAGAAAGTTCTTCTCCTCCGCGTTCTCGCTACTTCCGTGGTCGTCCGTTTCGCTGCATGAAGCAACCCTTGAAGGAATTTAGTCTCACGTCAATCTCGCCCTCCTCCAACTGAAATGTGTTCATTGTCCATTACTATGCAGTCCGCACGAGTGAAATTGTATACCGGATACGTACTAGATGTATAGCATGTAAAGTGACATAGTAACCAAACGCAATTAACGGAATTGGTATTCCGCATATACCTGTACCTGATCGAATAAATAGATCTCCCTGTAGCAGGACGGCGACACGCATTCTCGGATGCATCGCGTTTTGGCGACGCCGTCGATCCCGTGCTCCGATAACAATTTGCAACCACCGTTCTCCTCGCAGGCCTGCTCGAATTGTTTGAAGAGCAGCTCCTACGGAAGAACAAACCGGTTATCCTAATTACAACATTGACCTAACATTTATCCGCTAGCCGTTATTAATGTTTAAACACAAAAGGATTTTAATAGCAAGAGATTTAATGCCGGAAGTAAATCGCGTTTAAATTTTCCAATTTTCATATTTCGCTGAAATAAATCGCGTACGTTGATTATTTTTTGGCATAAAACGTTGCAAATGGATTTTGTGATTAAATCTGGGGACGCGAACATTTATTAATATTTATTTTTGTACACGAGGAAATTATTCTGTTAGTTTATGCGGTATTGATAAAACGAATGCATTCCGCGCCGCGGCGGCATAAAACGGAATGCAACAATTGATTTGTGCATGTCGAAAGATTAACCCCAATTAGAGTCAATGCGACTTCCAGCGCGGCACATATATGCGCGTTTAATTTCCTTCGCGAATAACTCCGCGTCTGCCTTTCTCCGCGCAAATAAAAGCATTACAGCGAGAGATCTTTGAAGGAAAATATTTGCCGAGCGTAATGCACACACGTAACGTTCGTTTCTCTTATTTCATCTTCTAAAAGACCCGATCGTAAGGATGTATTTTTGGCAGTGAACTTTGTATTTCAGATTTTAACGATCAAGCGCCCGTAAAATAAAATTTGTCGGGAAATCTCTCGGATAAAATCGTCCGCCGTTTTCTTCCCCTGAAAAGTATATCGCAAGTGAATCACTTTTAACTATACGTGACATGTCTTTTTCTACGACATGCGTATATTCTTTAGTCTTTTTGCAAAGAGACTCTGAATGAAATTTTTTTTATTTACCCTTCGTTCAACAAATTTGATAAGAGAGGAGGTCTTTGCTTCGTCGAATCGCAACTTGTGCCGTTGTTCCAAATATTCGGACGTAGTTACTTTCGAGTACACAAAGTGTTATATTTGTATGCACTTTGACCTTTTAGCCAAATTTCTCGCTAGTTAATGTCAGATCGATCTTTCGGTTCCTACATTAAATTGCTACCTTGTCCGGTCGTAAGTGATAGCTATCGAATGTTTCCGAATTTATAGTTCTTTTTCAGACGCGAAGGTACAATGGCTTTTTGTACTAGTTCGCATTTGTTCAATATAACTATTAATTATTTTATTAACACAAATTAGATCGAGGGTATTTTATAGCCGGTTAGTGATCCCCACGTGCAAAGACGGATTCGGAGATTGCGCTCAACTGTTTAGCTCGAAAATTGGTGCACCAATCCGGCTTAGCGTTAACACTACCGTCCCTACCATCGTAAAACTGTCACCCCTAAATGAGGGTCGCTCCCCATAACCTGTATCAGCGCTCGCCACGTACCGTTACGTGAAGGAGGACTTTGATGAGCTCTGTGGACGACTTACGTTCTTGGTGGTCTCCTTGTACGGATATTCCGGGAATGTGAAGGTCTTGGCGAGGGACCCTGGTCCTTCCTGGAGATGGCCGACGACGAGGATCAGACTGAGCGCGAAAAGCACCCCCGTCGCCATGTTGAGCGGAGTCGGTGACCAATCAATAAACGGGGATGGCGCTTCGGTTTCTCTATTGAATTTCCCGGTGGAAAATAGGAAACTTTCAGGCCTAGCCGTAAGGGTTGACTATCGATTTGTACCGAATTCTTAAACGTGTCGAATAATTAAGCTGACGTTAGGACCATGTCCTAGTCCTTCTTTGCGCGTTTACAGATCATTTAACTGTTTCTTTTCTTTTTCCACCAATTCTCGAATAATTCCCTGAGACTCGTTACCACATCTTATTACCCTGGCCATTACGTTGATCCATAAAAGCCCGCGCTATCTTGTTCTGCTGCAATCAAATACTTTAACACGTTGTCACTCAATTAATCAAGTCTCGCGGTTTTATCCTATAGTTTTGTCCTTTGGAATAAATTCTTGTTGTACGCGTATTTTATCTTTGTCTTTGATATTTATGTCTTCTGCAGCACTGCTCGCGTCTTACCTTTTGCGCGTATATTTATTTTATTTTTATTCCTGTTTTGTTTTCGTCCTTTTTCTCTTGTACTTATAACTCAACATGTCCGCCGTGTTAAGACCAAAGTTATACATGCAACAAAGTTATTTTGGTTTCACTGTGTGCAGTAAAGATATTATTCATGTTTATATGAATTCATCAAGTTTTCCCGCCAAATAATAAGATAAAATGTAAAAATAAGTACGAAGTACTAAAGGAGTAGTAAAATTGTATTAGTTGTAAAAATAAGTATTTTTGTTACGTTATAAAATGTAACGGTATGATTAATGTTGGTCACCTTTTACACAAGTATTTGGTAGCAGTTTCTTCGCCGAAAACTAGTACATTTATATATTAACAAGCACTGAAGCTATTCGATTTTTATATTTTTGCAAGATGCGTATCCGATAAAATTTAACGGTGGCTCTCGTGAACTTTCGGCGCCGGAGCGATTCGCGCGGTGACACGCGTGAATTTACCGATAACTCCATATAGCAGCGCAGCTGCGATATTTGCATAAAACGTATCGAGGCGTATGCACCAGAGCGCAGTAGCATTTATCGTTTCGATGTGTATGCGAACGTTGGACGAGACGGCGAGCGTTTTTGCCGAGTTAGGCGTTGTGCACCACCAATCCCAAATTCCGCGCGCGGCTTTCGTGCCATTAATTCGAGATTTCGGCGGCGATTAGCAACAGTTCCGGCTCGCCCGATATGTTCCTCTTGTCCCTCGCGTGATTACAACATTCTGCCAGTTGCACAGATAACCCGTGCAACAACGCGAAGAAGTGTCGCGGCCAGGATAATTTTTCTTCTTCGCTTTGGATATAATCAAAGTTATTAATAATTATCCAGTTTTCTCACAAGTCTATTTAGGCTGTGTTGTAATCGATGTGTGGCAACTGAGTCATCCAATTGCTTTCCCCGACAACCTATCTAATTTTGCAGTAGAATCGCTTAAAAGAAAACAATTCCGTATATTTCAAAGAATTCTGTATGACAAATGCTTTGCTTGGTAGAGTTTCTCGAATTTTATAACAATTTATTATGTCAATATCGTGTCTTGTTAAGAAGAAGCGATTATAACGTAATTGTGGCTAAAATAGAGATTTGAAGAAAAGGGATCATTAATTTCTGTCTTCTAAAATTGCGTTATCAATATAATGTAACATAGTGAAATGAGTTTCATTACACGCGAAATATTTCGGCGAGATAATGAGAGCAGACAAAACTAATTGGATCATTTCTTCTTTGACACAAGAGTTATCGAGTTTGAGAACAAAATTTGCTTTCGCAATTGAATTTCGTGAAATGTGAAGGATTCAAATTCATTTTGTTCACCTTCATAAAAATTATTAAGACTGACTGCCATATATATTCAGTTGGAACTATGTAAGTCACAAATTTGTAGGTCCAAGGCGTCAATTTGAGAACGCATATATCCACAGATGTTTTAGAAAATATTGCTGTCATGTCTTACGGAAAGTACGTACGATAGTCCTTGAAGAGTGTGGCAATATTATTATAAAAGACTGAGAAGAAAAGAATGTTTTAATTAAAAAGGTTTAAATAGAATAAAACGTATATTTTACGTACGCAAAATTTTACGTAAGTCGAGTAATTATACATTTAAATTCAAAGCTATATTGATCTATTGTGCGTTGTACTTTCAAAATTAAAGAATCCATCATTATTGCGTGACAATAATGAAATAATTTTTGTCTATTAATCTAACAGACTGCTTAACTGATATTTTCCTGTTCGCGTTATAATTACCGTATCGATTGGACCGGTGTATTATAATTATCCAGGTGTTAAGCTCGGATACAGGCTACTTTTTTGTCTCGTCGTAATTACCTCCTCTCGCTCGATTGAAATTCATAATTAAACCGTTAGGTATACACTTGACATAAAATTCGTTGCTGCGTGTGTCAAAGATTAATTGAAGATTCTGATTGTAAGTTAATTACATTCTCTGTTCAATACGAAGCGATGGAAAACTTTGTACAATTTTGCTACAAACCGCTTTCCATCTTACAGGTAGTTTGTTCTAATAACTTAAGCTAAAATACCAACTAATCTGTCATTTCGAAAAAATTGAAAGTTTTTTTTATATCTGGCTAATAAATGTTAAGAAATTGTGCAGTAATATATGAAAATTTCTTTATACGGAATGATGAAATTTCGTCTCTGCACAGTAAATTATATCTTGGTACAAACGTAATTAACGTCCTTGCATACCTATATAATTCTCCTCGAAGAGAGAGAACGATAAGCAAGAGCGATTCTCCCGGGTGACGTATTTCATAGTTAGAGCGTTACGATAAGAAACAATGAAATACGGCGAACGATCACAAAATACGAGGAATCCTTTGTATGTTGTATCCCTGCGGATATGTACATGCATACGTTGTACGACTGCAATACGCCATATGTCGATGAAATTGCGAAATAGAAATATTAAATATAAATACTAAATTGTACAATTACTATCTGAAGATGCTATTTGTCTTAAGATAAAAGAAAGTGACTCTTAAACCGGCACGATACGTCACGTAGAATATTGACGCGTATAAACTATATCGCTTTGACTTATCAATATTATGCTTCTTGAAACTTGCTTAGAAAATTTAAATTTGTTGCATCGCCAAGTTGTAACAGAAACAAGGTAAATGTAACGTAATTAATAAATTTAATATATAATTTTACATCTAATTTTTAATAAAAATTTACAGAATTAAATTTGGAAAATTAAGTTTTAATTATGGATAAAAAGAATAAATCATTTTCTAAATAAAGTTATGAAAATTTTCTTGCCGTATAAAGAATAAAGCTATAATTTGTTTAGCTTATTCGTACATCCGATCTGGAATATATTATTTTTTCCTAACAGTATACGTAATTCGTCACATTTATTTTTACGAAACATAATCGCGCGACATTGTTTTAATGCTAATAAAAGCAAAAGTCAGAAGAAATCAAGGTAATTTCAATGGTAGAGACTACAGTAATAGAAGTTGATTTAATTGCAGTGTAATTAAGTACCAGATGGCAGAGCGACTAATCTAATTGCAACGATTAAGAGACTTATTCGGGCCAGGATTCGTATTTGCGTTGTCTGTAATTAAAAATCCCTTGTTCTCATACAAATAATGATTTGAAACGGTTCTTTTAATGAAAAACGAAAATTTATCTTTCGGAAGAATTATTACGTTTACTTTTCGAGCATCATTTTTAAGAACTAAAGAATGGTATAAAATAAATATGGTGTGTAGTACAGTGAGAAATACATTATTTTATAACAAATTACTTATATATATACTTTATATATATATAATTTTATTCTCTCTTTCTCTTTTCCTGTTAAATTAGAAAATATTATATCACCAATGTACAAAAATGTGTCTGTTATCTTGGAAGAAATGTTTAATCTGCAACAATATACTCGTATTTGCATGGCGGCTATAATTGTTAGTTCAAACTCAATTTACCAGGCTCTTGACCGCTTTATCGCATTTCGCGCGAGCCATCATATGAAGGAGGAAATGAAAGCCGCGAGAATTGCATTCCGCTGTTAACGGAATTGCGTGCCGCGAAATTTTGTATCGATATCTCTCCCCCCCCCCTCTCTCTCTCTCTCTCTCTCTCTCTCTCTCTCTCTCTCTCTCTCAAGATTCGCGCACTATTACAAACTGGGGCGGCGGTACACAGTTGTGTCGTGAGCCCCTGATTTATCGATGCACCCCTGAAAAGCTCCCTCGGTACGACAGTGGTCCCCTTGGCATCGAATACAGCGTAAATCCTCTCCGCAATTCCTGAGCGGAAAGGGGCGGCAGCAGATTTCCTCACGTTATTGACCATGCAAATAAGGATCGACAATAATAGGTATCGTTGACACGCAGGCAAACAAGATCTATCCCGTTCCCTGAACGCGCGCTCGCGACGCCGACGTGAGATTGCATATACGTGCGCGAATCAATTGTCAACTTGGACCTCCGGTATTGCGTATTATTCATCTCGCAAATGTACGACGATTTGCCCGTGGTATCGATTAATAAGAGAAGACGTATCGCAATTGGCTACCTCTCATATTGCTCCAAACAGGAAAAATTGTTATTTCCACGAGAGCACATCCATCCCATTGATTAAAATTACAAATTTATTTGTTTGCAACGAATTTTGATTCGGTTTTCTTCCCGCTCTTGATGCGCAATTTGTTTAGTGCACGAAAACCATACGTTATGAAAACAAATTTCCTACAAAGTAAATTATAATTGTTCTTGTGTTATTCTTATTTGTCTAAATTCTAAATAAATTAATGGGTCTCAATAATTGTCGCATGAAATTTTCGTCCAAGAAAAGGGGAGAGCAGAAGAAGTTTGCCACTGTTTTAGATCGTAATTAAAATTGAAAAATTTATATCGAGAACAATTGAGATTTAATACGCCTGATAAAATCACGCGAATTACATCGAAAATTTTCGGAGGAATTATCGGAGGCTTTTCTTATCTTCTATGGAAAAGATGTCACTCCTTCAATAAATGATTAACATTCACGATAC